CGTATATATATATGAATATGAGCAGCAGCCTATTAGTTTTGCGCCAAAAACCACCAGTCCCTCAGAAACTTGATTGCTTTCAACAACTTGAAGTAGAAAAGTGACTGTGAGTGCCATATGATATATATCGTCGGCAACGGACTTGAGCTATAGCCTTCCTCCATTTTCCACTAAAAGATTGGTTTTTTTTCGCCCCATATATGCCGTCTCATCAGACATCTCCTGGTGGACCTTTTAGGATTCTGGTTTCTAAGAAAATTGGGGGGGTGCATTGACAAAATCCCAATTGATATTATAGGTCAAGAATTAATATTCCAGAGTGCATTGACAAAATGGCCTCCAAAGGACATCATTTTGCAGCAAAAATGTCAAACTTGAACTGGTCTCAGTCACAAGTATCGTGATTTCTTTCTGCTGTCTATGCTTAGGGGAAAAAACAAACCCAAAATTATATATATATATATATATATATTTTGGTGTTGGGTGTATTTGTGTGTATATATTTATATTTTGTTAGAAAAGAAAAGTGGTGAACTGCGTTTGTCACACTTGCAACAAGAAGGAGAAGCAGAAGCAGAAGCTCCAACGAATCATACAAAAGAAGGGACAAAGAGTTATGTGGCAATAGAAATAAAATCTTTTTCGTTTCTATGCAATCTTTATTCTCCTTTTTTTTACCTTTGTAAAATGTGACAAAAGAAAGTATAGCCACAAACATGCGTCTTTGTCTTTCTAAGTGATATCCTCTTCATGAGTCGACTAGCTACTTGTGGTTGCCATTTCCACAGACACCAAAAAGCTAGCAACTGCAGAATATATGCATACAAGTATTGGTGTTCCAACACAGTTCAGTACTATATATCTAAGCAAATCTAACTGTGAAATGCTATCGATAGTCGTTCACACACTACTATTGATTGATGATCAATCAAATAGATGACAGTCACTTTTGCGTCAGCAACTCTTAATATATAACATAATCAGATATTATAATATAATCAAATGGACACTCCAAGAAATAATGAGCCAGTAATTGACCAAAGTTGTGGAAATGCAATATAAAATTGATGCTTTTTCACATAATTTATGTGTTCTGTGACTCTGTCCCTTGATTGAGTGTGACAGAAAGAGTTGAAAACAAGAAATGCCGGTAGCTAAGTTTTCACATCATTTGCATGTATAACCAGTGACCACTATTATTCTTTTTGGGGGGGTGGTGTGGGGAAGTATAACCACTAATTCAATGGTACAAAAATGATTGAACAAGTAGCTTGTTGTATAGCCATTTTGGTCCTATGTAAAGCTAAATATACTCAAATCATTCAAATCGATTAAAGTTGGATTGAATTGAATTGAATCGAAGCATATTATATTGAATTTTAAATAGTTCTATTATATGTGTTATACACTAATTTAAAAATGTACGTGCACTTAAAAAAGTTTACGTGGTTTAGAGGGTCCAGTGATTACTTATTTTCGGCAATTGGCACAATTATCAGTTTTCCAGGGCCCTTTGTTGTAAGTTGTAAGTGCAAAGTCATATCACTCAAGTGTTGAATGCATCTATGTCATAAAACATCCACCACATCAAGCTCTCTTCTCCTTTGGCCTTTTCTCTATGCAACAATAAATAAATAATGTAAATTTGGGTACACAGACAAACATAAGCACACGTACAAAAACTGCCTAAATTGAACACGACAGATTGAGATATTGCCCTTGCTAATCTTTCCGTAAATAACAAATTTTATTTCATCAGAATTTCAGAAACAGCCCAAATCTGGCTGTGAATCTATAGGGTAGCAGCAGCCACACAACATGCATGCATGTACTCGTCTATTGCCTACAGCTACATTCTTCATACACCAAGCTGGTGGGTTTGAGTCCCGAACGCACCTTCACAGGTCCACCAACACCACGCATGCCGGTATTGGGCCCGATTTAGCCAGGTACAAAACGAGAATTAAGTTTTACTAAGGCATCACGTCATTAGTGTAAGTGTTTATATGCCAATTGATTACTTCTTACAAAGTCAATGTCGGATCTCTAAATTTGAGAACCACATTTAAATAAGAAAGATAGGATTATGGCAAAAAGAATGGAATCGGCATTGTTAATCGTTGCAAAACAGGGGATGCAAGTGTAGATTAAACACACCACGTTCCTTTTGAAATACGTGAAGTACTCATAAATCATTCAATATATATATTTAGATTTTCTCCAATGTGGATGAGAGAAGAAATTTATGTGTAATTCTAGATCTCCAAATTGGCATAACATGCAAATTTATCTTAAACAAGGGTTTTTTTTTCTTTTTTTCTCCTGGAGAAGTGAATGGAGTGTGTGTTGGAAGCACTGAGATCGAATCACACCTTCAAGTAACAAAAATAGTAGTGTATAACTTGGTTGTCTAGTTGACTTGCATGAAGTCTCTGCCTTTTCTCCCATTGTTTCATGGATTATTTGATAAGTGGGAAGGCAGGGCGGATCAAATATGTACGGATTAGCTAATTATGTTGGAGCATAAGAAAATATCTGAAATGCATATATACAAGTGTGTAAAGTGGTTTGAAGAGTTTGGACAAAACAAACAAGGGAATGGTTGTTAGTGGAAGTGGAAATTTTACTATTTTCTTTCCTTCGTTTTGTTTTTGGTTTGACGTTTCAAATCACGTGACATTCTTCAAGAAGGTAACAACATGTTAAAAACCAAAACTTGAGAAATAACTATCGACTGAGTCTTTATTTTCATCATTTAGCATCTCTTTTTTATTAGATGACCACTATTAGCACAAGTGGTGTTCCTTAATTCATTGTCTGTGTAATGGGGGATCAAATATTTGACTCTTTAAATATCTTTCAAGTGTGGTCTTCAGTGGCCATATTCAGCAAAGCTTAACAGTCATTATCAGTAATTATACTCATAATCATCAGTGTGTTCTTATTATAGTAAAATTCACAGTTTTCTCAAAACAGGTCAAACATATTAGGTTTTGCTTTCAAATAGTGTTTCTATTCATTCATCTCATCTAATTGAGACCAACAAAATTATTCAGATATCTAATTAAGACCAACAAAATCAATGAATACGGTGTTTTAAGAAAGTACTTGAGTTTTAATAATTTAATTAAGTGGCCAAATAATATCGGATTCAAGTGTTTTTTTTTTTTGTAAAGATGATTTTTGAATGAATATCTACAAAATAGATAGTTTGGATTAGTGAAATACAGTGATGAGTGGGCTCTACAAGGATGTTCCTCCCTCAATGAAAGCTCTCTGTATATATATATATAATTGGAAGCACCAGAACTTATAATTTGTCCCAACAGTTTCAAATACTTCCTATACATCCCAAAACCCTCACTAGAGGACAGGAGACAGTAGGTGCAAGAGAGAGAGAGAGAGAGAGAGAGGGTTGGGGACATGAGTGAGGCAACTAACATGATGGTGGAGTTGTCACAATGTCATGCAGATAAAAAGTAGGGCGAATGAGTTTCTCTTTCAAGTTGAAGAGCAAGATCCCATGAAACTGATAGACCCAACAAGGTAGGATCTATTTACAACTATACTTTCGTATGTCACAACTAGGACAAACACAGTTCCATCCTCTTACTATATCCCACTAAAAGGTTTGCTTGCTTTTCTCATTGTCTGTACCATTATTTTTGCTGGTGGGTCTGGAGGGACATTTAGATCATATTGGAAATGGGGGGCAAAGACAATCTGGTGCTGATTTTGGTTTGGACTTTTGAAAGAGAGAAAAGCCGCCTCGATCTATTTTATGCTCACTTTGCTTGAGCAAATGCTATTGATCGATGGATACAGTTTAGCTCTCGTGTCATCTTCAAAAATCTAGAATAGAACATTGAACTAAAGTTGGAACTGTTCCTCCTATAGCAGTTTTGTCCTGAGATCCAATAGTACAACTAGAATAACAACAAAGGGGACCCAATTCCTGTCATTCTTGGTTCCTGCTATTACCACCCAAATGCACAACTTTGCATATGTGAAATGGATTGTATCAGTGGGAAAAAAAAACCATAAGTGAGCCATATGGAAGAAATCTTGAAACCAACCATGAGATCAGTTGATGTGATAAGAAACACCCAGCAAAATGTAGAAGACACCAGAAGACTGTCACATCCCTATAAAGTGAAGATTGAGTTTTGATGTGGTGGTTGATATATCATATACTAGAAGATGGATGGATAGTTGAGTAGAAGAAGCAAAGAAAGCAAAGAATATCCCATTTCCCATGTAGAGTGCGTACGTGCTGTGCCATTATGCCACTTTGAGACAGATTACTCTAGTCTAGGAGGTATAAGTCTAAGTCTTGCTTGTCTAAGCTGTACAGTCAGCCCCCATATAGGAGGGTCGGGAACCTGCTATTGGATGTTTCATATTATGGACATCCGATCAGCTTCAGATGAACCCATAGGAATCCATCCCACAGTAGCTCTTGTTTCTTGGTCGTCAGACTCAGATCAGAAGAATATAATCAAATCTCCCACCTGATCATGCATCCAAAAGGGACGACCGTGATGACATGTTGGCATAGCTGTGCACCAATGGCTACTAGGGTTGCACATTGCGTTTCTGAGAGAGACGTGGGATTACTGCTAATCGGTAGAGGCACTGAGGCAGTGCCTGGTTTCCTAGTTTCTTTTCATTAAAAGGGTGAAGAATTCTCTTCGAAATGGATCATTACCCTTATTATGGTACAACTTTGCTTTTCTATGCTAATCTTAATCGTGTCGTAACGGAGGATTAAAGGGGAATTCACTTCAGATGATATTGTGTTTTAAGTACTAGGTAAAACATGTCTTCCATAGGTCCCCTGTTTTCCCCCGTTTTGGCATGGCATTGTATAGCTTGGAAAATTTATTGAGAGGCTGTGTTTGCTCTGTGTACAGTTTACGAGTTGAGTACTATTCAATTCAGGTGCTTTGTAAAAGCAATAACGAGAAGAAAAGGGCATCACCTCTTGAACAAGGAATCGATATCTTTATTCTCACATTCTTATATATAACCATATTATACAAGAATTAGGCCTTATTTTTCCAGAAATCTGGAACTACCCGCCGCAGACCAAAATTGAACATGTGGAATATGTTCCCCAAACTCACTGCCTCGGGCATAGCTTAGGGTAACACTTTGGCAGATGAAACCAGTCATGGTGTTATTGGTGCTTATGTGATGACTGTGGGCTTCTCCCTTCCAGTGAAGTCCTTCAGCTTCGATACGGTCAATGCCAAATCTAAAGCACAACCCAGAAAATGAATAAGTAACAGTCTATGTAAGCCTTTGTTACAGAACAGCAGTAAACTAACCTATTAAAGGCTTCAGAGCCGTTTGGGCATCCGCATCATGTTTAGAGCTATATGTATGAAATTAAAAGTTACTTCCACTAAATAGAAAATAAGGTCTCGAAATTAAAGGATAAATAAGTCACAATCAAAAGAAAAATAAAGGAAGGAAGGTTATTACTGATAAGCGATATATGATCCTTGATCCATCTGTAAAAACAAACCGAACACCTTGCTTTGACACCACACTTCCATCAACCTGCAAGATTGTATGACACTAGATTTAAACATGTTGATCTAGAAAACTGGAATTCAGTTGCTTGAAGTCACATTTGAAGGAAGACGGAAAACATGTAATGGAGCTTACAGGATCAGTGTACGTAAAGTCATCGGCAAATTGGAGAACATAATTTCCTGTGGGATGATTACTTTCAGCATCCAAAGGTCATGGTAGTATCAAGAGAAGTAGAAGTACAAACTTACCATACTTGTCACCGGGCTTGCTGCTAGAAATCAATTCTCTAAGATAATCTACCATTTTGTTGGCGCCTGCAGACTCGCATTCCTGGATAAAGGGTCACTTATTAAAAAAAATTTGCACTTATCCCAATAAAATACAAATTGATCTGGTTTGTAGTACAGACTGTGATTGTGCATTATGATTTAAAAATGCAGTTGCGATGATTACTTCATAGTCATATCGAGAAAAGAAATTTCTTCCATAGGTTGCCCAGTGTTCCTTCACGACGTCTGAGACAGAGACCAACTTCTCCCCAGGCTTTTTGTCTTTGTTTCTATATGCAATGATTGAAAGCCAAGCTAAAACAGCCCTGTCATTTGTAAATACATGAGTCATTTCACACAAGAAGTAACAATTGATTGCGATAGGATGGTGAAAAATATATGCCCATGAACCAGAAAAACTTGTCACATTATAAAATGTTTAAGGATCAGGTGTGTCATTACCAAATTAACAGTACTGAAACAGATAGTATAATGATTATATAGAACTAGAAACAGAGCAAGATATAAAGTATGCCAAGAACTTTTTGATCAAAGAAACTAAAATTACTAAATTAAAAGAGGGCCTATATCTGGGCAGAACTGTAATAATACTATACACTATGCAAATATGACGGGGCTGTTTCACTGAAGAAAAAGGTGGGAAATCACATAAGGCAAAAGTGAGAAATCCCATGATGGATAAAAAGATTCAAGAAGCTAAACTTAAGCAGAGAATTTGCTCATAAGCACCCCAGATAGTAAAAATCTTATTTAATGTAGACAAACTGTGTGACTGCCCTAAAATATAGATTTAGACATACCATATGCCATCCTTCTCACGGATATGATCAGAACCTGTTCCAAAACTCTCTTCCCCACAAATAGATAACTTCCCAGCATCCATAAGATTCCCAAAGAACTTCCAGCCAGTGGGAACCTGAGCCCAAGAAGGTACATCATATGTTACTAGAGGAGTATCTCATAGGAATAAACCACTGCACGAAATACATTATGATTCTACGCTTTTATCAATACAATAGTCAAAGAGAGCCAAACCTCAAAGAAAGGAAGATTCAATTTTTCAGCAACACGATCAAGTGCACCACTTGTTGGCATGGATCGAGCTAATCCCTAAATAGTTTTAAAGGGAAGAAACAGAGTCATTTATGGTTGCTCTGAAACAAAAATTCACAGCAGACAAATAAAGCTGGAAACATAGGTGCCTGACCTTGGGGCCACTCCAGAAGTAGGGAATAGCTTCTTGTGCATTGGCTGCAATAATTGCAACAGAGTCTGAAGGAGTAACGAAAAAGCCTCTACCAAGAATCATGTTTCTATCACCATCCCCTAATCAAAAATGAAATTTGTATGTTATTCAAAAAAATGATATGTCCATTGAGACTTCTAAAACAATTGTTAAAAAAATTGTATAATCTATGAATTCAGCATTTCCATGCTTTCTTGGTTTCTCTTGTTATATCAGCACAAATAAGTTTAGAACATCAACAGGATATACTAAATAAAACTATATGCTTCTTTAGTCATGAAGCCATTAACACAAATTCTACCTCCTTAGTCGGTTAACATACCATCACTAGCTGCCCCAAAGTCAGGTCCATTTTCACTATACAGAATGTTCACCAAATCCTTGGCATATCTATTTGACAACACAAGTCAAAATTAGCAATGCCCAGCCATAATAGCAAAGTAGCATCAATTTAATTTTTAAACTCTTACGTAAGATTAGGATCTGGATGACCGTGACCAAAATCCTCCAGAGGCACCCCATTTGAAATTGAATCCTATACATGACATGCCAGACATCTCTCATCAGGAATACAGTTATTAGATAATATACAGAGTACAACCACTTTTGTGTTCTCTTATTTGTCTAACATACCGGACTGGCTCCCAGCTTATCCACAAAGATGGGTTTTGCATAAGCACCAGTAACAGCATGCATTGCGTCAAATAGAAACCTGAAAAGTTCCAGTCATTAAGAAATAACGAAAATTCATGAAATTGCCCTCTACTACCCTATTCAAAATTTTACACTCAAGCATGGCATGAATGAATAGGAAGTGATTCCCAGTTACTAACAAATTACTGGTTATAAACCTATATCCAGACTGAAAGCAAACTCAAATACCATAAAAATCCTTGGTACAGGGCAGATGAATATACCTAAATTCTAATTGTAGAAGACTTTTGATAAGCTGGAAATCAAACACGTTCTGCACAAAATCCCATACAATTAGTGGTATTCAAACTGGATTAATTGTCATAAAAAAAATTATAAAGATGCATGATTTTTGTTTCCCACCTCCAATAGTTCCAAATAGTCAGAAACAGGATCTACAACTTCAACACTGAAGTTTCCATACTTTATAACTCCAAGAGTAGATAGGTCAACATCAGCAATATCTGCTATCTTTATTTCAGAGATCTGCATTGCACTTATATGATTCAAACTCAAATCAAACAGAGAACTGTATGGCAAGAGCACATGAAAGTTGATGCATAGTTATAAGTTTTGGAACTTATGCTTCAAGAATATATAACTAGAGGTCAACTTCTCCTACTGGAGATTGTTATCTGTCGACTAGCTGTTTTTCAAATTGTTAATTTTGATAGTAGAGCTTTTGCTGCACTGAACTCCAGATGAAGACATGAAAGCAGGAAAAAATTAAACTAACAGCATTTAACAAGTACGAGTAGCAGAATGTAAAATGTAGCAAATATGCACACAAAACCAGATACTTACAGAAAGGGTGTTTCCATAAATCTTATCGGTTATGGACTCAGGTGCAGGTTGACCACTACTGTAATTAAACTGGAAAGTGAACATGAGTTTATCAGGAAGTAGTGGATTTGGAGAAATTGAAAAGCATACACACAAAACTGAAACATATTCAGGGACAAAAAAAAATAATTGAAACATGGAAACTTTGAAGACTAGGTCCTATCAGATTATATATTGCAACATCCATTCTTTATATTATGTATGCATAAGAACTCACCTTAATACCCCAATCATAATCAGGTCCACCAGGATTGTGGCTTGCACTCATTATAAAGCCCCCATTGGCCTATAAAATGTATTGATTAATTAGAAAGAAGAGAAAGGGCAAATGAGTTGACAAAATTAAATAAAGTATATTGCAGCTTGCCTTCCTCTTTCGGATTACAGCAGAAACTGCAGGCGTTGACAAAATTCCTTCCCTGCATTAACAAAAGTTCATCATTAGCTCATATATTTGAAGCCTAAAGTATTACTTGAGAAGGGAATCAAAAGAATCACAAGATGTAAACAAACATATAAAGGCACCACCACTGGAAATATCTTCCAAACAAGACACTTACTTGCCAACCAAAATTTTCCCAACACCATTCCCTGCGGCAATTTTGATAATAATCTGCATTACAAATCCCCAAAGACTTATAAACACAGCAAGTAGGATTTCTTTTTAAATGAACGGAGACTGAAAGTAAAAAGCAAACAGCATAATTTAATGCAGCATTCAGAGTTCAAGAAAATAAAGGATGAAACATTGAAAAAGCACCTGTGCAGCTTCACGATTGAAGTAACGACCATCACCTCCCAAAACCAATAGCCCATTCTTGTAATCCTCGGGAGGCAATGAATTAAATAACGCCTACAGAGCAGAAAATTCTAAATCACGTTCAAAACCTCAATGCACTAAAGAACAAGAGATGAATTCGACACCATAAAGAAGTGCAAGTATTCAAACCTGGATCCAATTTGCAAGATAATTGTCTTGCTGAAAAACTTTCACCTATAAACCAAACATTGTGCGGGAAGAGAATCAGGCCTCATTCAGTTGCCAAAGTGCTCTTTTGTTTCATTGCAAAGACAATGTAGGAAGAAAAGTATTCAATTTTGATTTCCTTTTGATGATATTAAGTCCATTCAAATAAACAAAAGAGAACAACGAAAAGATTAAAGAACTAACCTTCTTTCGGAGACCACTGGTTCCAGTCTTCTGGCCTTCGATTGGTTTAGTGGGAACCAGATTAATCTGAAACAGAAAAGAAAACCCATTTGTTAAATCAAGCCAAAATTCAAAACGAATAAGATTCACAGAGAAAAACACATTCATGTATGCATGACACAACAAACACACAGTTTATAGACTATACAATATATAATAGACTGAGAGACCTTGATGCCCTGTTGATCAGCAACCGTTGTTGGAGAAGAAGGGGAGGAGGAGGAGGTGGCTTTAATGGTGAGGGAGTGTGAGGTTCTGAGAGGCAGGGGTGGGGGGGTGGCTTTAATGGTGAGGGAGTGTGAGGTTCTGAGAGGCAGGTGTGGGAGAGGAGAGAAGAGGAGAGAGAGAGATGGGTTTGGAGGAGAGAGCGAGGCATTTGAAACTGATGCTGGTTTGGGTCTGAAGGTGGGTGAGAGAAGGTTGTGCAATCTAAGAGAAAGCGCCATTCTTGATCTTTTTTGTTTGCAGAGCAGGGAGGGAGAGAGAGAGAGAGAGAGAGAGAGAGAGAGAGAGAGAGAAGTTGGGGAAGATCTTAGGCCTGAATGCTGACAGATTCATACAAGTTTGGAAAATCAAAGGCTGCCACATGTACGTTGGGTATCATCACTTATCTTAAGTTTTATGTCATCATGTGAATTGCTTTTCTTTCCCTCCCCTGTTTGTTTTCCATACTTTCTCGAGAAAATCTTATTTATTTGTTTAATCACTTTCCCAGTCATATAGGCTAAGGGTATAAATTATGCATTTGTTGATTACTTTCCCGGGTTTAGATTGTGACAGCTACGTGGTATATGCTTTTGAGAGTCAATCATTTGATTAAAAAGATACCAGGCTCAGTTTTTATTTAATTCAGTAACCCTAGGAGGCCTGGAGGCACACAAAAAGTCTTCCAAAAGCAAGGGCCCAGTATGGTCTGGGTTTATGGGGGTTTGTACCCAACACCCGGCAACTCAAATCAAGGCCCAACCCATACCATATTGGGTGTACCCTACACCCTTCAACCCAGCAACTGCCAACTCAACGTAATCCTTTACAACTAGGGTTTAATTTTGTAGGTTTAGTTTCGATTGGGTTTCTAGTAGAGGACTGTAGGTTGTTGCTAATTTAGTGGTTCATAGGTTAGCTAGACATTACTCTTTCGGAAGTTTATTCGCCATATCGGGAGCCTCTCACTACCATCCAAGATACTTTGGTGGAAGACCTTATGTAATATTTTACTTTTAAAATCATTGCCTTTTCATAAATGAATAAAAAGGATTTAATTTTTAAAGATGAATATAGCAACTAAGGGTGGGCATCGAGACCGGAAAATCGGAACACTGAGCCGCACAAGATAGAAAAAACAGGAAAAAAAATCGTGTTGACTAAAAAGTCAACAAACCAGCACTGAATCGGACCAGACTGGTTCAAACCGATTTTGGTGTCAGTTTCACACCTTACAAAACTCGACCGGATTGATTGCATATTTTTTTAATATATTTATTTTAAAAATTAAGGTTTTTTAGGTTTTAGACATTAAAAAAAATTCACTTTTGGAAAAAGCCAAAGTTTTTTCAAAAAAGACAAAAAAACCACTCAACTTTCAAATCAAAGACATGCAAATGTATTGGATTCCTTAGGAAATCTAAAAATAAATAAGGGTATTTTTGTCCATTTTTGCTTCTTTTAAAATTTTTCTCTCTCCTTTTGCTTTTTCCAAAATGTCCCTTAAAATTATTTCAATCCAATGCTTAATTTCTAATCTCATAACTAGTATTTCCTCAAGCCCAACTTTAAAGCATCTTTCTTTTTTAGGCTCAATCATCTCTCTTTGCATAAAATTGGATTATTTGTGAATTTTAAAGCCCAAAAATAAAATTTTAGTTAGAATTTGTAAAAATAAATAAATAAAATTCAGTTGGAAAAAAAAAAAAAATTCACACTGAAACCAATTTAAATCGGACCAGCTAGTTTCATAATTTTTTTCCACAAAAATTGGACTAAACCGCACTGATTAAATAATGCCAATATCAATTCCGATGCGAGGTAAAAATCAGACCGAACTAAGCCACGCCCATCCCTAACAGCAACTGATATTATTAAGGAAGAAACAAAATTACGACTTGACAAAAAAAAAAACTATTAATTATGAAGCTAATGACCAATTGGAAAAGGAAAACGATGGACTTTTAAGAAAACCAACTAGTTATATCGTACAAGGTGAGCTCAATGTTTCAGGAGCTTCGGATACGTGTCGAGACACTATTGGCAGACTGGTTAGCAATGATAAAGTCTAGACCTTAGGACTAAACTGACAGGTTGTAGCTGTAGGGTTCTTTTTATAATGTTATCAGTGAAAAGAAGCACTATCCGATGCCCGTTAGTCGACACGTGTTTCTGTCACTTCCTCCCCAACTCTCAGCCTCTCTCTCTCACAAAATGACGTAGATAGATAGTGCCAAAAAATCAAATGAACTTAAAATTTCCTTGTTTGTTTTTTGTGGTGCAATTACAATTGCAGTATAATGCACATACGTTTATAATATTAGAGTGAGAAAGAAAGGAAGGAAGAAAGAAACAAGGAAAAGAAAATCTCTCTATCATCAATGGGGAGAAGGAAAGTGGTGTTGGAGAGAATAGAAAACAAGATCAACCGTCAAGTGACCTTCTCAAAACGAAGAAATGGTCTGCTCAAGAAAGCCTACGAGCTCTCTGTGCTCTGCGATGCCCAAGTTGCCCTCATCATCTCCTCCAGCCGTGGCAAGCTCTATGAGTTTGGCAGCACTGAGTATATATATATACATATTTCTCTGTTTTTTTATTATAATTATTGATTCCCTTGTTCTTGATTTATTGAACAAGTTCTGTTTCATTTGATTCTTAAAACATCATAAATAAGTTTGTGTGCATATAAGAATTCTTAGTTTACATATGATTATTTGGTGAACCTAATTGCTTGTTTTCGGTTACAATAAATTTTGTTTCCTCCGATGGGGGGAGACTTTGTATTGAGAGCCTTACTCCGACGGGTCTTGACTGGAGGTACTGAAGGTCGTCATCCTAGCTAGGGTTTCTTTCTCCTCTCAGTTTATTCTTTTGGGATTTTATATATCTAGGGTTTCTTTCTTTTTATCTACCTCAGTACCTGCTTTGATTATGTCTGGGCTGAGAGAGAGAGAGAGAGAGAGAGAGAGAGAGAGAGAGAATTCAAGAGTCGAGATTTATTGGTTTTTGCCAAGGAGGTAGAATGCATGACCTGTCGGTTGTGGCTCGACCTATCACATCATTTTTTTCTGATATGGAAAATTTAGGTACAGTTCTGTTACTTATTAGAAATAAGTTATTACTAGCTAAGCTTTCATTTTGCGGACTGCAGCACGCACTTAGGTAGTTTAAATATTCTTCATTTTTGCTTTTCTTTTGGTCTTAAGTAGCTTTGTGGATTCTGTTTTTTAATAATAATAAAAAGAGTATCTTTATAAGCTCTTCCTATTCTGCTCATATATATAATACATATAGATTGATTACTGTATCTCAAAGTATATTCAGTCTCATGGTTGTTCTCAATGTCAATTAATTTCTTCAACAAAAAAAGGCAAGAAAGTTAGCATATCCAGTCATGTTTTTACCAATGCTTTTCATGTATTACTGTTATATATGCAACTCTCTCAGTTACAACTCAGTTCATTCTTTGATTAGCGTGAACAAAATTCTTGAGCGGTACCGTCAATGTTGCTACTCCTTACAAGGCAATGTTGCTGAGAATGAAACACAGGTGCTATTTCATAATTACCTTGTGTTATTATCACATTGGAATGAGAGGGCCTTCTTTCTCGGTCTCATTTCTATATTTTCTTCACCTTTTATTGTCTTATGCAGAACTTATACCAAGAGGTCTCAAAATTAAAGGTCAAATACGAGTCTCTTCAACTTTCACAGAGGTATGTAATACCATAATTCAAATCTATTGCTTTTTTTTTTCATCATTCTTTCAGACATGCAATGAATTCTTAGCCTCGCATATTTAGGCATTTGCTTGGAGAAGATCTTGAAAAGCTTCGCCTGAAAGAACTGGTGAATCTTGAGAATCAACTTGACAAAACTCTCTCAAAAGCTAGACAACGAAAGGTACTAGTAATATGTGTTATGTAGTCTCACATGTTATGTTGTCAAATACTCAAGGGTCTCTAATTATGACGTCTTAGTTACCACGATCAAAGGAAGATATATCAGTCATGGCCGATCAGATGATGAGTAGAGGATATGGAAAGGAGGATATTTTCTAAATTCTTTTGAAGGATATAGTACACTTTTATATTTTTATAAACGAAGAAAAAAAAGGTCACTACTACAAAATAACCCTTGCGCGACCAAATTTTGCGCGACGAAACTCAAAATTTCGTCGCGAAAAACCTTGCGCGATCAACTTTTACGCGACGAAAAATAATTCGTCGCTCAAAGTGACTTTGCGCGACCAACTTTTGCGCGACAACAATACGTCGTCGCTCAAAGTCTTGCGCGACCAAATTTTGCGCAACGAAAAATAATTCGTCGCTCAAAGTAACTTTGCGCGACGAAAAAAAATTCGTCGCTCTAAGTAACTTTGCGCGACGAAA